ATTAAATTTTGGTATATAATTATTATAGCTTAATATTTTAAAATTTAAATATAAAACCCTCCAAAATTCAAAATTAGTTTGTCGACATTTATTTTTTTGTTCACTTTGCTCTTTTAAAATTACAAATTTGTAAATTATACAAATCCAATATAAAAACGTATTATAAAATAAATATATATATTTACAAAAACAACTTAAATGACTAACCTAAATTATTCCATGCAACGATTTTAAAGGTTTGTGTTATATAGTTGCAATCGGTGCAATTGAAGCTAAACAATACTTTTTTTTTTTAATAAGGAATCCGTTATTTTTCCTACTGAAAATTTTCAATTTAGTAAAATATCTATTGCAAACTGTAATAATATCATAAAATTATTACTGTTATTTTTAAATTTGGGCTAACACTTTCGGGTCCATAATATTTTCAGTGGAAGAAACTTGGCCGCCGGTTTGTTGTGTAAAATGTATTAGTATGTAATATTTTTCGGCCTAAATAATCGAAAATATCATACATAATCGTTTATTAATATCTACACCCACTAATCATGATGAAAATAATTTCGAATGTATTTATACGTTAAAAGCTATAAATTAAAATTAAAAAAAACAGGCCGTTAAAGTCAGATTTATTTTTAAAAAAAAACTGTTTTTGATTTTCGACCACTTTACAGCTTTTATAAAAATATGACGGATGGCTTTTTTAAACCAAATGTTTAATGTTTCGAAACTTTAATTGCAAACTAATTTTCAATGCATATGCTGTGTATTTGTGCGTAGGGTTAATCTTACAGTTATTTACAAAATATCAATACAATACATGTTTTCTGTTATTTGTATTAAAAAATGTGTATTTTTCAATAATTATATGACGTTTATGAAAAAGATAAGTATCGTGCACCTTGTCAAGCTCCCGGGTGATCATATATAAAACGCAGAACAAGCTGTAGGTACACGTTATTAATTTAATTTATTTTTATTTAAAATATTATATCAGTTTCTCTGCAATGCAATTTCTATATTATACATTAGGTATTAGTTAAAGGAATATGTATTTATAATGCGTTGTGAACTATTATGTTTTTAACCACCTGTTGAAAACCACCTATGTTATATAGTTTAAAGCTAATTTCTTATTCCCACCATTGACTGCAGAATTGCCCGCTCGCACCCATGCTTTTCAAGTTTTCAAGCAAACACACTTTTATTACTTACTTTGTTTTTTTTTCAATCGATATAACTTTGTCAATCTTTCTGGCCTCTTGCAACCTCGACGATCTGCCTGTACATATACATATTCGTATGACATACAGTTAACACGCAATAATTGTATTGTAAGATAATGGCAAATCGAAAATGTTGTACCAAAAAAATTCAAACACAACCGACAAATTTGTTCGGGCATTGCGTTGCCATAGATGTGTGTCTAATGAAAAACAGGGTGGCCGTCGTCGTGGTTATGCCATCGTTTAAAGCGTAACGCAAAATAAATATTATCTTAAAAAATAGCTAGTACAATTATTATTATTTAGACGAACATAATTTAAATACAAAAAAAAAAATCAAACATTATTATTGTTATAGGTATGCGTTCTATAACGGATTTTTTTTTTTCATATCTTGTCTTATACCTAATTTGTTTAATTCGTTAAGTACACTATACCGATAGTTATTAATAATAACGGACATAGTAGGCAACGAAATGTCGACAAGTTAATTCATATTTAAATCACAATTAAATTTAAATTTGTCCAAAAGTATATTGTTAAGTATGTTCTATAGGTACTACACCGTGTATAATATATGGGTTATTATTTTGTTTTTATTACTTAACATTTGACTCACGGATAATATCGAAAAACTTCTTTTTTAAATTTTGTCCTGAGCGCGGCACACTATTTTTTATTTTATAATATTATCACAATATTTAAATGTAACGTAGGCTCTGTTGTTTGTGTTTCAATAGTGGATCAAATGTTAACTGACACAAATGTCTGTTGGAACTAAAATATAAAAGCTATTGTGGCAAGAAGCATTAGGAGGGATAAAACTTAAAAAAAAGTCACCGAGTATGACGTGCTAAACACTGCTAAAAAAAAAACAGTGACATAATTAGTAATTGGGATTCGGGTCGAGGATGTAGTAAACATACTGTAAGTAAACATTGCGGGTTTTTGTAGTAAATTTCCATTGATAATTCAATGGAAAATAATTCAATGTTTATTTAATGACCTTCTTGCAGACACTTTACCTCGCCAAAGCCAATTATGGAAAAATGAAAACAATAAATGTAAGTTCGTTAAAAATACATTTTTTTCACTAGGTACTACCAAATACGTTATATTAAAATTAAAATAATTTTAAAAAATAATATTGAAATACAAAAGTATGTAGAGTAGATATTCTTCTTTGAAGTTTAATTGTATACAATTAAAAAAAACCAGTACAGTGGGGTCGGTGCATAGTGGGGACGGAGCATAGTTGGGTCGGGGCATAGTGGTGACGGGGAGGTCACAGGTTTACAGGAATTTTAAAATCTGAAAGTGATAAAATCACTTTCGAAAAAACGCTTCGATGCAAATCGGTAGTTAGTATTTTCAAGCCAGTACAGTCCAAACCAAGCACAGTATAAACCAGCAAAGTTAGAAAGTTTTAAATGAAGGTTCTGTATTTACAAATGAGCATCAAAGCGTTAATTTGAAAGTGATTTTATCCGAGAGGACTAGTACAGTAGAGTATTGGCATAATGTAATCAAAGCAATGAGGAAACGGAGAGGTCACAGGTCTACAAGAATTATTATAAATAAAAGTGATAAAATTGAATAAAATCGCTTTCAAATAAACGCTTTGATGCTCATTTGTAAATACAGAACCTTCATTTAAAACTTTCTAACTTTGCTGGTTTATACTGTGCTTGGTTTGGACTGTACTGGCTTGAAAATACTGACTACCGATTTGCATCGAAGCGTTTTTTCGAAAGTGATTTTATCACTTTCAGATTTTAAAATTCCTGTAAACCTGTGACCTCCCCGTCACCACTATGCCCCGACCCAACTATGCTCCGTCCCCACTATGCACCGACCCCACTGTACTGGTTTTTTTTTTTTTTGCAAAAACTTAGTGGACCAAATAACACAAATACAATGTCTTGTTATATTTTGTTGGAATGGTCGACGATTCATGTTTCAATCGTTTGTACTCCATAGTTTAAATTATAATCGCTTATTCTCAAAAAAATTAATATTTATGTATTATATACTTCCATTAAAGCAATCTCACACAAACTATTTATACTTCACAGATTATATTATTTCAAAGCTATATTATACTTCTATTTTACTAGATTGACAATGTACAAAATAAAATTTTCATAGATTTAAGCGTGTAATCAAACAATTTACAAAAATATTAGATTAGTACATGTATTAGTATTTCAAACAAATTTTTAAATAATTTCAATGTACATGAAATACATTTAGGTTCATCAAGGATTAATAGTTCACAAGAACTATTGTGAAAGACAGAATTAATACAAATAAAAAAATTATACGATTAGTAATACGTTAGATAAGTTATACGATTTATTATGAAGAATACATTTTTTCAAACGTTGCAACTTGATACAGATTAATTTTATGTTTATAAAAAGTTTTGCATTAATTAATTAGTCAAAGTTCATTGATTTTTCGAGTAACTATTATAGATAAATATAACAACCCGGTTTAAGTAGCTGTAATATTGTTTAAATTCTTGTTTCAGGTATCGCTGCTAATAAACCTAAAAGTAAATACGAAGTTGTTCAATAGTTAATTAATATTAACGCTATATTTGAAATTGATTAATTGAAACTGTTATGGATAAATACGTCAAACCGAGTTTGAATAACTAAATTATTTTTACAGGTATTCCGGCGGCTGATGAGAGTAACCAAAGTAATTACAAAGTTATTGACTAGTAGTAGAAAAAACTTATGATTTGATTGAACAATCTAATTTTCTTTATACATTATTTTGTTTACACATTATTGACAATTATGTAAATTTTAATAACACTTAAATGATTAGCTGGTGTAAGTAGTTTCATTTTTAGAGTGACTGTTATGGATAATATAAAAACTGGGTACAAATAACTTTATATTTATGTTCCAGGAACGCCTATGCCTGCTGATACAACCAAAAGTAATTATAAAGTTAATTACAAACAATTTAGTAAAGTTTAGGGGGGAGACTTACTAACATAATAATTATAGCAACTATTATATTTAGGGTAAATTTTAGAACGGCGTTTATCATTTTTTAACATTTTACCACAAAATACCATTTTAAACGAAATAGATTGTTAACGTTTTATGTTAACAAATACTTTTGACTCGACAGACAAAATACGATACTAGTTCTTATTGTTTGATATATTATTGAAGAGCCGGTTGAATCATATCATATATGTATATATACAAATGTAGACGACATTTATATTTTCATTAGTACTGCTTTGTCTGCGGACCATTAAATCCTACAAACTAAAGTTATTTTATTTCTTGACTGGGCTCATCTCCTTGGTTATTATGATCCTTCTTTCAGAAGCTGTAAATCTTTCCTTCATGATTTCTTAATTCGTGGTATTCGACTAAAACGAGTTATCTCTATAAAAAATTGGCCTCTTCTATATTTTGTTTATCGCATAATCCCTGTATGTATACATATTTGTAGTATTGTCATTATCGCAGAAACCTACAATATCAAATAACATGTTTATAAAAAAATGTAATGAAACTAAATGAAACATACCTATTACTCCCCATGTCCGTATGCCCCACCGCCTCAACGATTGCTTTTGTTTTTGTAATTTCAATAACTGGTGACTAAAAATTTAAACTCGGCTTCCGAACAATGTAAATATGTTAGTCAAAACGGAAAATAAATATGTTGCTTATGTTAATAGTATTCGCAAAAACCATTATTCTGAAAAACATATTTACATTGCATTGTTTCGGTCGACATAACAGATTCTATTCGACAACTGTAAAAAAACCTTTGAAGCAGTCGGTTTAACTAACATTGAATTTGTTTAAGTAAGTAATATTATCAAAACTTCAAAAACTAATAGTACACTTACGATATATTTCTCTGATTTTCATATTTTTTCAGCACATAGACCTTCGATAACATTTAATCCACTAGTCCTATTTCACTATACACCAAGGTCATAAGTAAGTAGTATAATCAAAATTTTATTTTAAATAAATTTTCATATCAAATACCAATTATAAAAAATTAAATCATGCGGAGGAGCGTAGAAACATTAAAATTTAGATTTGAGGTTATTTGAGTATAGGGGCATGGCTGAAGACATTCTTTACAATTTTGACTCGATTCAACAGTTTTAGTTATAGAAAGTTGAAAAACTGACAACTTTTTTTTATAGTTGTTTTCCGTTTTTGTGGTGAAGAAGTTGACTTTTTTTACTTTTGACTCACCATAGTCACCAAATCACATATAATTTCGGATATCTAACGTAAATCGGGCCATAGTAAAACATAGTATTGTGTTAGCAGATACAAAAAAACACACATCATAGGAATTCTACTAGCTCGGCATCGATGCTAAAAAAACAGCTTTGTAAATAAACTAACAACGCTGCAAAATATGTTTTTATTTTACTGTATTGCCGAAATATGGACAACCAAAATGTAGGTAGAAGTAGAACGTAGTCGTAATTTAAAATTAAAAAAAAACATTGTTCGTAGTTTTTTCTTGTATTGTTTATGATAAAAGTTTTTTATTTATACCGTACATACTTTAAATAAACATTGTACCGGGTGATCCATCTTATGTAAGACACATATTGTACACACTGTATCACTTAGTTCACATGGGTGCTTGTGATTTATTGTTCGTAATCACATAAAAACATGTTGATGCGAAGTTGGCTTAACTATATATACATACAAGTCAGCTAATGTTTATTCTATACAGATTTTTTTTTATCAGTGCATGAGGAAATGTGGAGTGTAGAATTTTTTTAACTCCCCGAATTTCCCCCAACCCTCCTGTTTTTCCACCCTGTTTTCTAAACTTTCATCACTTTAAAAATACTTGTCCAAAACTGGTTATCAACCAATCAAAATTTTTGAACGTTTTCTAAATTTAAAAAGCTTATGGAATATATGCGTTACCATTTAAGTTTAAAAAGCCGCTTTAAAGAAAACTTAGTAAGGATGAGGTCGAAACAAAAAAATTGTGAAAAATTGAGATAAGGTACAATGTATAAAAATGACATAAAAAAAAAATGTAATTTCTTATATAAACCTATGAGACATTGAGTGGCATATGATAAAAAAAACACCCTGTATGTATACATATTTGTAGTATTGTTATTATCGGAGTAACCTATAAAAACAAATACCATGTTTATAAGAAAAATGTGTTGAAAATATAGTGATTCATACCTAATAATATTCTCCGTTTCTGATATGTTCCACCGCTTCAACGATGGCTTTTGTTTTTGTAAATTCAATAACTGGTTAGTAAAACGTTTAAATTACGCTTAGGAACAATGGAAATATGTTAGTCAAAACGACCGAATGTTGCGTATATTACTAAATTCACAAAAACATATTTACATTGCATTGTATTGGTCGACATCATATAGGCAATTCGATATACCTAAAGTAAATCGGGCCATAGTAAAACATGTTATGGTGTTTTCAGATCAAAAAAAAACACACATAATAGGAATACTAGCTCATCACTGATGCTAAAAAACCGCTTTGTAAATAAAATAACAACGTTACGCTATACAATGGTTATACTGTATTGCAGAAATATGGACAAACATAATGCACTTAAATTATAAATGCACATCCATGATGAAAAATTGTATTTAAAATTTTTGATTCTGTATCTTCAAAATACAACTCATGTTCAAGTTATTTTTCATCATGTGCTTTTAATTAGTCATAAAATATAATATATATATATATATAGTTAATTATCTAAGGACTTTCTCGTCCAAAACATTGCAGAGCGTCGAAGGTATAGGTTTTACTCTGATGTGGGCTTTTTTTTTATCTTTATACACTGTAACTTTTTTAATACTGAACCAATTCCTTCGAGTAGCAACTCTATAAATCACAAATTTCATCTAGTTGGTACTTTGTTGGGGGGGGGGGGGTCGAATACGAGTCGGATCGAATTGAAATGTATAAGGGATATTTTTTTGGTATGCTCGCACACGTCACTTGTATCAATATTAAATTAAATCCGTTTCCCAACCCCCTAGAAGGGGTTCAACTTTTTTTGTTTTTTTAGTTTTTTAGCCGTAATTTTAGGACCTTTTAGTTGAAAATTTGTCAGTAGTTAGAACTCATATGTATTCATAACATATTAAATGGAAAACAAATTCGGCACTACAGTTTTTTTTTTTAATTGCCGGAAAACTGTGTTTTTGCAAATCGCGTATATTTTAACAAAACGCCTAAAATCTTAAAAAAAACCAGTACACTGGGGTCGGGGCATAGTAGGAACGGAGAGGTCACAGTTTTACAGAAATATTTAAATCTGAAATTGATAAAATCACTTTCAAAAAAACGCTTCGATGCAAATCGGTAGTTAGTATTTTCAAGCCTGTACAGTCCAAACCAAGCACAGTATAAACCAGCAAAGTTAGATAGTGATAAATTGAGTTGCAGTATTTACAAATAAGCATAAAAGCGTTTTTTTGAAAGTGATTTTATCCGAGAGGGCTATTACAGTAGAGTATAGGCATAATGAAATCAATGCAACGAGGAGGCGAAAGGTCACCGATCTACATGATTATTATAAAGAAAAGTGATAAAATTAAATAAAATCACTTACCAAATAAACGCATTGATGCTTATTTGTAAATACAGCACCTCAATTTAATACTTTCTAACTTTGTTGTTTATACTGTGCTTGGTTTGGACTGTACTGGCTTGAAAATACTAACTACCAATTTGCATCGATACGTTATTTCGAAAGTGATTCTATCACTTTCAGATTTAAAAATTTCTGTAAAACTGTGACCCATTATGCCTCGACCCCTTTGTACTGTTTTTTATAAATACATCTAACTGACTATAGGTGGAATCTGTATTTTGTATGAATCAACCTCTAACTAACACCGTCCCAAAATACACCCGATTCAACTACACTATACATTTAAAAAAAATTCCATTCAAGTAATTGAAATTAACTTGAATTATCCTAAGATTTATTTTTCCAGATAAAAATGAAAATTTCCTGTATTTTGATATCATTAATCTGCGTTAATGTCATATCGATGGCAAATATAGGTATATGTAAGTATTTTATTTTCATACTTACCTACACAAGGTAGATAAAATTCTAAGAAAAAAATAATAATTAGCTTTTCTTTACAGTGAACTATATAGAGTTAGTTGAAATTTCAAGTAAGTAATATTTTATAATTATACTGAATAACTTTGTTATTTCTTAAATTTTGCGAATTTCATCCATAACTATTTTTTAAAAACATTTACTACAGACGAGCAACTCCAAAAAGCTAAAGTCGCTAACGGAAGTAAGAAACATTTTAATATACTATTATAAAATTGTTGTGCAATAATTGCTTAAGTGTCAAATTATTTGTAAATTAAATATAAATTTATTTACATGTTTAAGCGGACGACGCACATGCATTCTTACTGTATAAAAATATGAGTTCGCTCTCATGGTACAGTGTTTCCATAAAAATGACTTAAAAAAAAAGTTACCTTTAACACCTGAAATTTATGAACTTTGACTTTGTTATGTTAAAATGTTGTAAATAATTTCCAACACTCAACTTCTTAAAACATGAGCGGAGTGCCATCTTCTTAAAGTGGTAGTTTAATATTCTCGATTGAGTCTGTGCACTATCGCACATGGCCACAAGCCTTCACTAAAAGTTACTATAAAATACCATGAGCAAACCTGATTCTAAAAAATGACTATTTACCCCAACAGGGGTAGTCGGTAACGTATGGTGTATTTTTATTAATGATTTTTATGTTCATTTTGATTTTAATTAAAACTTTTCTATTGGTCAAACCTTTATTTGTTTGTTCTAGAGGGATTGGAGAATGTACTTACAAACATGATAGATGTAGAACACTATAATATGAGTAATAATAATTATGTGATAACAAAAAAAAATCTTAGTTTTAGAAAAAATGTATTTAAAAAAATACAAAAATGTATCTTTAACCCTTTCATCGCCATTGTGTTTTATACACTGCAACACATCCCAAGCATCGACATCCTGGAAAAAGGTTTCATAGTTATTTAGTTGATTAAAGCATAAAAGCAAGTCCAGGATATTAGAATAGTTAACGCTAATGTTCAGTGATAATAATCTTATTTTACTTTGTTCTACTTCCCCATATTATTAAATTCAGCCGTTGTCATATCTTTAGGTTTCAAATGAATTTAATATAATAGAGCTAAGTATTTTGTTCCCAATAACAAATACAAATATTTTTTTTTTTTAACTTTTCTACTTAGTTTTTGATATAATAGAAAATTAAATTCACTACGATTTATTTTTGTATTGCTAATTTCAGAGAATTATAATCAAATGTTCACTGTGCCGGGTAATAATTCCATAAATATATTATAATATTACCACGCAGTCTTTTGATAACCATTATGTATACAACGTTAACGCTATAATTTCAGAACTTGCAGAAACTCACAACTATAACCTTCTACAAAGTAATCAATTCTTACTTCTATGTATTTCAAATTCAATATTTATAATGCTTCACAAAGAATTACATTTACTATATTAGTTTTTAATACACGAAAATATGTACATAATATATGTTTATATTTTTGTTAAATTTAGAAGCCATAATGACAGAAAAATATACTTTGCAACCGAAAATATTCGATATTATAGGTGAATATTTTTAGTAAACAATTTATTAAGCGTGAAAGCAAACAATCTACAAAAATATTAGATTAGTACATTTATTGGTATTTCAAACAAATTTTACACAATTTTAATGTACACGGAAAACATTTAGGTTCATCAAGGAATAATAGTTCACAAGAACTTTTGTGAAAGACAGAATTAATACACATAAAAAAACTAGATTATTATACAATTAATTATGAAGAATGCATTTTTCCAAACGTTGCAACTTGATAGAGATTAATTTTATGTTAATAAAAAGTTTTGCGTTAATTAATTGGTCAAAGTTATTTTATTTTTTGAGTAACTGTTATGGATAAATATAACAACTTGGTTTAAGTAGCTGTAATATTGTTTAAATTCTTGTTTCAGGAAACGCTGTTGATGAACCTAAAAGTAAATACGAAGTTATTCAATAGTTAATTAATATTAACGCTATATTTGAAATTGATTAATTGAAACTGTTATGGATAAATACAGCAAACCGAGTTTGAATAACTAAATTATTTTTTAAAATTGTTTTTACAGGTATTCCGGTGGCTGATGAGAGTAACCAAAGTAATTACAAAGTTATTCATTAGATTTGGAGAAAAAACTTATGATTTTATTGAACAATCAAATGCTCTTTATACATTATTTTGTTATCAATTTTTAACATTTTACCACAAAAAACAAATTTTTACGTAATAGATTGTTCACTTTTTATGTTAACAAATACTTATGACCTGACAGATAAAATAGGTTACTAGTTTTTGTTGTTTGATATGTTTTTGAAGAGACGGTTGAATCATATCATATATGTATATATATATAAATATAGACGACATTTGGTGTCAGTCAATCGTTTTTTTTTTTTTTGTTAAATTCCCGAACTTATTAGACATTTAAATAATTTTAATTTACTTTGAATAGACAGTATCTTCTGTATGTGAAATATAGAATTTTCTTAGTCGCCCATTTGTTATATAATAGTATGAGAGATAACACAAAACATAAAATGAATAAGAAAATAGTGTTATTACTATCACATTTTCCTTTGGTCGCAACCATCGTATTCATAGCAAATTGCACAGTGCCAATTTTCTTGTATATACTTATTTTTAGCTCAAGTTATTTTTATTGTAATTTTCTGTTTTGTATAATGTTACATATCATACATTTTCTATCTTTGTATTATACTTCTTATTATACTGTGTATTTTTTTTCATATATTGTACTTTTTATGCGTTATTTGTGTAATAAATGCGTATAAGGACTTTTAATATCAAAATAAAACATAAATACGAATATAATTTTAAATATGATATTTTTAACAAGCTTATATATAATTTTATGAAGGTAAAGAAACTTCAAAATGCCTCAAACTTGGCGAAACGGCGAAAAATATTGTTACTAAAAGTTGTAAAATGATAGGTAAATATAAATTTACAATTTTAAAGATGTTACTTTTTATTACAGCATGATTCTATATGGATAACACAATCAATTTTTTTAAAATTATATTGATAGCTTGTGGTTTTTTTGTCATAGATACTTTAATTTTTTATTTTATAGTATTACACATACATTTAAATTTGTTTCTAGAGTGGGGGGGGGGGCAATAGCGGCTCTATATTTATACTTTATTCAGCATTGATTAATTGAAACTGTTATAAAAAAAATACCAAAATAATAAATACAAACCGGGTTTGATTACCTATATAAATGAATTGTTTTTTTGTTACAGGTCGTGCTCCGCATGATAATGAAAAGCAAAGTAAATACAATGTTATTCGTTAGTAGTGATTAAAACTTATTGCATGTTTAAAAGATAAAATTGTATTTATGTATTTTTTTACTTACACAATTTTGATCATAATAGATTATTATAAAATGCAAAGTGATGAAGGTATTCCTTTGAACGTTGCTAGAGATAATAATATGTTATAAATAAATTTAGCTTCGATTAGTTGGTCTAAGTAATTTTATTTTTAGAGTGACTGTTATATGTAAATATAACAACTGGGTTCAAATAAGTGTATGATTGTTTTATATTAATGTTACAGGAATGCCTCTGCCTGCTGTTTCAAGTACAAGTAGTTACAATGTTATTCGTTAGTTGTAAATAGATTTTATGGCTTGGTTGAACGATAACATTTTCTTTATACATTTTTTGTATATACAGTTATTACGATAAAGTACAATTTATTTGGGTTTAATTAATTACATAGATCTACTATTATATTCAAATATTACAAATTAAATAATATATTTTTAACGGTGTATATACATTTTTAACATTTCATTCAAATACAATAATTAAAAACATAGGTAACAATTATTTGTTGTCAAGACGTTTTAAGTTTACGTATATTCATGACTTGATAGACAAAATCCATACTTGACTCATATTATTAGTAACGTTTCATTAACCGTTTTACTCTACATCAATTGTCATAGGGAAACCCGCTCGCTTGAATAACATCTTAAGCATTTACAAAGTTTTATTTATTCGGGGAGACTTAATGACATATATCGACAATTATAATATTAAGGTAATATTTTGAATGATGTACATCAACTTTTACCATTTCACTACAAAATAAAGTTATAATTTATAAACATAACAATTATTATTGTCAAGACGTTTAAGTTTAAGAATACTTGTAACTTGGCAGATACAATTCTATACTTGCTTCTCATAGCATTAGTAACCCACTCGCTTAAATTACATCTTTTATTTTCAAAAGATCACAAGGAACTAAAGCGCACGGTTCGGTTTCTTTTACTATTTTCTCAGGCATCCCCAACGGGGGCCATGGTTGTCCTCTATATTTTCTTTATCTCATTAAAGGGAATTTGGCAAAAATAAGAAGTTCCTTTTGTTTTCATAAGACTTTAACATTTACTAGTGTTACCTTTTATGTGGACGGTTGCCTCCTACATACTGAACCTATTTTTTTCTTTATTTGGTTCATCCCCAGGTTCTCTCATTGTATGTTGAAAGATGTCATACATTTTCAACATTTTCAAGGAACCGTAATCCGCTACTGCACGATTACATTCTTCATGGTATTCCATTCCAACGAGTTTTAATATTAAAGAAAACCGTTTTATTTTTAACATCTTATGCGGTAGCTAAAAGGGTCTTAAAAGACATGGGTTTTATGTTAACACTATATTTTGCATTTATTAATAATTGTTCATTTTATTCTCATTTTTATCACTGTTATGGATATATATATCAAATAGGTTCGACTAACTGTATAATTAATTTGTTTTTTTTTGTTACAGGTTATTATCCTGAACCTGATGACAAATTCAGAAGAACTTACATAGCTTACGCAGCTACTCGTTAGTAGTAAATAGAGCTTATGGCTTGTTTGAAAAATAAAATTTGCTTTGTATATTTTTTTATTCACACAACAATTGACGTTAAGTCGGGGAGACTTATTTTTAGGGTTCTAGAATGGAGTAGTAATTTAACACTATTTTAAAAAAAGGACTAGATAAGAATTGAGCGAAAACAGAATACATTTTTGCCTATATCGCTTTTGTACTAAAAATACTGCATCCTCTCACGACTACGTCGCTGTCCGCACTTTTAATATCATAGCTTTTTACCTTGGTTGATCATCGGACAAACGCTCTATTCTATTTTATTTGTTCACCCATTTAAGGCTCCATTAATGCTCCTTATATTCTAATTACCATATATTGTTTCGTTCTTTCCCAGTCTGTTTGTACTTATTTGGACATTAAATTTTAAAATTAATTCGAATATATTAATAATTATTATATTTTTAAACGAGTTATTCGTATATACATTTATACAGGTTCTCAAACTTCACGATTGAAAGAACTTGGAAAGGCGAGAAGAGATATTACTGGAAACGCTATAATAAATGTACTTACCCAAAAACTAGGTGATTACAAATATTCAGTGTACAGTGAATTATTCGTTTTACAGTGTTATGGATAACACAGTATTTTTTAGGCTATTAACACAAACAATGCTTTTTAACTAATTAAAAATGTGTGATTTTTTTTTCGAGACACTTTAGTTTTTGGTATTTTATAATGTCTACTAACATACATAATATTTTATATAACATTTAAATTTTTTTCAATAGCTCTAACAACAAGAATAATATGATGAAAATGTTACTAGTTTTGGATAATTAGTTTTGAATTAATTTTCCCTCCCTTCCGTTATGTTTATAACTTTAAAGGGAACTATTTCCAAAGAGTTATCGATCACCCAAAATTATCTTAAACGGAAAATTACCCTCTTTGTATTCATAATTATTTCAATTATTTTGATTACGGTGGTCGCATTTTCCAGTTTTTTCGACTTTTCCATGAATTTTTACCTTGTATGAAATTTACACATTTAATGTAAAATTTTTCAGTTTTCTAAAAAAAATTCTTAAATTTCGGACAACTAAAAAAAAAAACAAATTTATAAATTATAAACTCATTTTGAATGACTCTGTTACTAAAAATAAAAAATAAAAAACATTATTTTTTCAGGAAGCTGAGATTTTTTCTATGATACATATATAAAAATAATTGTATAACTTGTATTAATTACGTTTAGTAGTTGGAGGGGTCAATGGATAAAGGTGTTAACTAACATTTTTTTCGAAAATGCATTTTATTGCATGAATAAAATGGTTATAGTGTTATAGTATAGTCTAGAAGATCTCTAGACCGATAGTAATCATCTTATAAGTTATTTCATCTATTGAATATACAAAAGTTCCATAGCTTTCGTTTAATATTAAGTTAAAAAAGTGGGGTTCCTGAACAATTTCAAAAATGTCAGTTAATACCTTTATCCACTGACCCCTTCAATTGTGTCTTGCACAAAAAGGAAACTTGATGGCTAATAAGTGAAATATGCCAATTTTTAACAACTGTTTTTTTACATTTTTTAGATGAGTTTATTTCGGGTGGCCAGAAATATCCTGTTAAAAAGATATGTGTTTTGATTGGAATATGGGTTAGTCTAAAAATGATTTCAAACACGTCCCCTACAAACAACGGTGATGTATGTGAAATAGAACTATTAGGGAATAAAAGCAAAAAAATTGTTATGTACAGACCATTGGACGGTATATATTGTCAAATAAAAGCAAACGACATTAATAGTGGAACGAAAAAACTAACTGCACAACTACGAGAGAATTTAAGTATTCCTCTTGAGTTTATATAATAAATAAATAAATTTTTCACATTGCACTAATTTATTTTATTTTGAATATATTTATTTATTGTTATTATTATGTGGTATTGTTGTTAATTTATCATTAATATTAACATTATTATCTTCATAATCATCGGATGTTTGTCATATGCAAAATAAAATAAATAAATTCTAAAATAAACTCACAGCTTTAAACATATTTGTTGTGAATTATTATTATTATTATTATTATTATTGCGTACCTATGGTTTTGTTTTTACCGAAAGTAGACTATTCATGACCTAGATTTGTTACCTAAGAGGGAGAGGATAGTATGCTCTTGATAGACTGTACAGGGTAATTCATTAAGGATAAGACACTCGGAAGATATAAATATTTTAAACAATATTTGTTTCCAATACTTTTAGGTACATATTGTACTAAATTTTTGAATATTTTAAATATTTTTAGGTACATCCCTTATTGGTAAAAAATATATAAATGTGTTTTTTTTTTTTTAAATGGGAACACCTATTTTTGATTCCTTATATTAGTAGGGAAAAAATAAAATAATTTATTAGCGTTTGAATTTTTCATTTTCATTTATCAGTTCGTTTGCTATGACTTAGTAAAGATATTATATTTCTCTTAATTAATGCCTTATTTCTGAGGTGTATCGAAAACCATTAGCACGTACAACACATTGCCGAATTAATACAGAGTATAGCTGTAGCCGTCAATGATTGTGCATAATTGTAATCGCAGAATTTATTCGTTCAACTATGTGAAAATTAAGTCAACAACACGATTTTTCAACACAAAAAATAAAAGTATATTTATTTAGTTTTGTAATAAATGCTTAAAATGTTGTCAATTCGTATCCAAACAAAGTGATAACTGTTTTTTATATCATCAGTTGTTACCTTTTTCAAAATCGTGTCCGGTAAATTAAAACATGTATTTATTTATTTTTTTTTTTATATGTGTCTACATCAAATATAGGGGTTTTATGACCTCGTTCTTAAGGAAGCCACAAAAATAAAAATCCATGACTGTTAAATCAGGCGATCTTGCTGGCCATTGTATACCTTCGCTCTGTTGGAATAATAATTAATATTCTATATATCAAGAAGTATTTCACAATATATAAATATGTTGTTTATCTGTATAATAAAAATACGTAGTTGTTAACCAGGAAATGTTATAGAAAAACAAAGTTGTTTTTGTAAGCACACGTGTATGTGTAGACGCGTGCAACCGTGTGGGTTAATATAAATAGCATTTGATCTAAGGGCTCGGGGCTCAGTATTTCTATTCAGTTTATACATATTACTAGTGTATTATTGTTTCACTGTGTTGTATATATTCTATGTATAATATATCTATTATTGTAATAACATTATTTGTGTTGAATACTTGATTATCATCTTAATAAAAATATACTTATATATTTACCTATATATTTAAATGACTGGGTCATTTTTATTTTTTTATTTCTTAACATTTGACTCACGGATAATATCGAAAAACTCCTTATTTAAATGTTGTGCAGAGCGCGACACACTATTTTTTATTTTATAATATTATCACAATATTTAAATGTAACGTAGGCTCTGTTGTTTGTGTTTCAATGGTGGATCAAATGTTAACTGACACAAATGTCTGTTGGAACTAAAATATAAAAGCTATTGTGGCAAGAAGCATTAGGAGGGACAAAACTTAAAAAAAAGTCACCGAGTATGACGTGCTAAACACTGCTAAAAAAAAAAACAGTGACATAATTAGTAATTGGGATTCGGGTCAAGGATGTAGTAAACATACTGTAAGTAAACATTGCGGGTTTTTGTAGTAAATTTCCATTGATAATTCACAGATAGATTGATTAATCAATCTATCTGTGTTTATTTAATGACCTTCGTGCAGACACTTTACCTCGCCAAAGCCAATTATGGAAAAATGAAAACAATAAATGTAAGTTCGTTAAAAATAAATTTTTTTCACTAGGTACTACCAAATACGTTATATTAAAATTAAAACAATTTAAAAAAATAATATTGAAATACAAAAGTATGTAGAGTAGATATTCTTCTTTGAAATTTAATTGTATACAATTAAAAAAACATTATTAGTATATTAACATATTGTGTGTACTATCTTTTTGGATACAATCAATATTTCCAGTGTAAGAAACATGGTACCTTTTGATATATATATATGATATTTTTTTTACTAAAAAAACTAAATAAACAAATAAGTGATTGACTTTGTTTCAATATGAATAAAATATTTTGAATGTAGCCGATCAGATTCATACAAATATAATACAGATTACAGCGCGATTACCTATGTACCTATGTAAATTGCTGACAACAACCAAAACGATAACTCCGATAAGACATAAAAGTGTAAAATCTTTTATATTTTTAGCGAAATAATCTTGTGTACATATTACATTAGATATATATATATATGTGACATGTGTATATTACATGTGTAAGATACATTGTCAAGTTAAGACTCAAGTTAGAAAAAAAAATATATATGCTAATTATTACACATAGTAACAATAATAAGTGGATGGGTGCTAGCTTATAGTATCAATTTTTGTAACATAAAAACTAATATTGACATTTGCGCCGCTATATGAACATAATACAATATTTAACTTGAATACCATAATAACTGTAATGCAATTCGATTTAAATTATTAAATTCAATTTTCGGCTTGCACGAAACTCATTTGAAACGAGCAGGTGCGACGTTTCTTACCTGTGGTACTAGGAGTACATGAGCTAAGGAGCGGCGATTGCCATATTCGAGAAAGGCGAAAAGGTAGGTACGGCCACCACAACGACCGCGGCCCACGCGCCCCTGGTACTGATTTTCTGACATCACATAATATTTATCAAAAGACTGCACTATTATTAATAAATACAGTTGTTGCTTATTAGTTATACACAAAAATATACACTTAACAAGCACAAAAATGTCAGTCGTCCGCCAATAAATTATTAACATTTGCAAATGCAATTGCACTTAAATTTTACCAATATTTTTTAATATTTTAGAGTTTAAAAAAAAAACCGCGTATTTATGTATTATTGTTCAATAAATTCTTTCTCTGAATACCGTTCTTTTCCACTGTTTGTTTAATTTGATTATTTTTTTTAAACCTTTAGCCAATGTGCAAATTCCTAATGAACAAAAAAAAGGCATTATCTAATAATATTAATATTATAAAAACATCCATTGCTCGTTTTAATGAATAAGTGATATAAATTCATATTATATGAACTTAATCTAGCCGTTTTTAAACACGTACATAATTAATATTTATTTTAATATTACGTTCCTGGAAACACTTTAACAAGCCAACACAGACACAATTATTGATAAGTCATACCAGTGTCCAAGCAGTTTAAGATGAAAACATGTTAAAAAAACAATATTGTTTTAGTCGAGAATAGTACATTATCAAATATTCGTCATTGTGTATTTAATTTATATAAAGAGAATTTATATTAAGAGTTGGTTTTACAGTAAGTATAGCTGTTTTCATGTTTGTACAACATCATGCCCGTTACAAATAATAAAATATTATAATTTTTAAATTAAATATTTAAAAACATTGAACCTCATCTATCTGTAATGAAAATACAGCATTTGTACAATTATTGTTATAGCCACATTTTTCGCGTATATAAAATTATTATTATTGGCCAAGAATTAATAAAAAAAAAACACAATACGATTTTATGTTAAACAGTTGACAAATTTAGTTGATGGAAAAGCCATATTGTTTTTATAATATACCTCTTATCCAAATATTAATATATTATTAAAAACTTATTCTGCACCCTTATACATTGTAAACTGCTACTCCTGCGAGATTTTTTTAAATTTAAAAAGAATTATAAAGTCAAACCTCAGGAATAGTATGGCAAAAGTGTATTGTTATTATTGTAAATATTATCCTTTAAATATATATATATATATATATATATATTTATTTAACTAATTAAGAATTTGTGTAATTTGTGATTACAGACTAAACAAAGGTTGCTGGCAACCCACATAGAGAGAAGTTGAGATAACTATACTGGTGAAGTTATTTGTGAGTTGTGCTTATAAAAAAAAAAAAGCTCGAATTTGTACTACATATTTATTAATAAAACAAAGTATAAATATATTATAATATTCATTGAATAGACTTAGGTAACTAGAGTCATAAGTTTGAAGTAGATATTATAACATAATTTTTCATTGAACGACTGTGGTATGTGGTAGGTAATCGCTTTAAAGTTTACCATAATATTATACTTTCACTTACCTCGTCGCTGCTTATTTTTTCGTCGGCCATTGTTGTCGACGTCTTCGAGTTGGATATATTTGTCCATAAGAAAAAACACCAAGACGACTATAATGTTAAAAACAAAAACAAACTTAAATCAAGTCGAGTTAATGTTTTCTATTAGGCCTCCTCGGCCATTTTGTCATGGTGTACCTACATACGAAACACCAACATTTATCTATGCCACACCAGAACAACAATAGACATAGGAAGTTTTACAATAATTGTTGTATAATTTACTCAACATCACAGTCCGCACAGTCGATAACACGGTGCTACAGTGATTCTGAACTTTTCCAAAAACAAAAAACGTTCTCTAATACACGGAAAAACATAGAAAAAGGAATATGTTTTTGGGCTTAGACGGTGTGATTCAACCAAATCATACTTGATTGAATTTCAAAAGTACCCTCTCCTTCCCCTCCCCTCCCTATACCTACAATATCTTATCAATTTATCGTACATTACCTAACCCGGTAACGACTGATAACCTGATGATAACTCGGTAATAACCTGATGATAACTTAAAATGATAACTAAAAAGTAAAAAGTTTAGAATTACGGTCTGGCAAATTTTAGTTTGTTTGTAAGAATAACATATCCATATCAACACGTTTGAAATGTTATTTTTTGTTTTAATTTACACCCCCAATTTCTTTTATACCTGATATTCAGTATTGCCAATAGTCAATCACACTTT